CCCACGCCACGCAGCCCCTGTGGAAATCCCGGGATTGGGGCGCGCTGCAACGCAGTGATGCAGCAGCATTGCCATGGCAACGGGTGACATCATGCCTGGGTGCACAGGGACTCGGCAGCCCCGGGGCCCACGGGTGCACGTCTACCCCGGGGTGGCATGGGACACGTCTGTGGGTGCAGGGACAGGGGACAGGGTGTGGGTGTCCCTGTGCATCCAGCACAGCTGACCCCAGGCCCGGGCAGGGTGAGGGGACACCAGGTTCTTACATGGAGCGGGAGCCCCCAGCACCCTCAGCCAGCCCTGCTGTCACCCAGCCTGATCCCAGCCACACCTGGAGCTGTGCCACTGGCCACCAGCCCCTGTGCAGGGCAGGAGGCAGAGGGGGGGTCACGCTGGGGGTTTTACTGCTCAGCTGCGTGCAGGTGGAACAGTGGGACAGAGGACTGTCCCCCGTGCTCACCCACATCCATCTATGGGTGCCAGTGCTCAGAGAATCCAATACCCTTCACTGCCAGGGGCTCTCTGGCCACTCTGTGTCCCCAGGGACACCCAGAGCATCCCCAGTGGCCCTGAGGACCCCTGTGGGGGTAGAGTCACAGAGCTGGCACCCACAGGGTGCCCGACACACCAGCACTGTCCAGCACTGTGCCTGTCCCTTCAGCAAGTCCCAGTGGGAGCCAGGATTAACCATGAGCTGATCCCTGTGAGGACAGCATTAGGGACTGCACTGGGGACAGCACCGAGGATGGCATCAGTGATGGCAGTAGGGATGGCATCAGGGACAGCACCGGGGACAGCACTGGGGCAGCATTGGGGCAGCATTGCTGCTCAGCCCTTTGAGATTAAGCCCCTGGTGGGAGCCCCTTCCCACCCCTCCTGCCACGGGCATGTGGGCACTCAGCCGGGTGCCACGGCTCTGCCCCTCCCGGGACTGCCAGGAACGCCACGCAGAGCCCCGGGCCCCGAAGCCCAGGGCCATGGCTCTGTCCATCGCGTCCGCGGGGAGGCAGCTCCCGCACAGGGCTCTCTCCCGGGCTGAGCGTGCAGCGGAGCGCAGCTGCCCGCGGAGCTGCCAGCTCGGATGAAGGCAGCGCCGTGCCATCCTCCAACCGCGCCGACAGCTCCGCCCGGGCCCCCGGATACTGCAGATGGGGATGGAGGCGTCAGGTCACCCGGAAAATCCGGCCCAGCACTCAGCTCTGCCAGCCGGGGGGTTCCCGGTCATCACCCCTCCAGCGCGGCAGTGAGCGCCGGGGCTCCTGAGGGAGCGGCTGCAGGATGGGCAGCAGGATGGGCGTCCCTCTGCCTAAGGGAGCAGCAACGCCAGGCAAAAGGGGGGCTCAGAGAGGGGCTGGCACAGCGGTTCGGCACGAACCGGCATCGGGAGCTGGGCTGGAGGGACCACGGTGCTCCCACGGGAGCTCCCACACAGCTGGGTACCAACCCGACATCCCATGGCATAGCTGAGGCTCAGACCCTGCCAGGCTCCCGGGGGCGTACCCGGCTCCTGTCCCTCCTGTCCCACACTGCTCACACACAGCACCCACCCCTGGCCCCGCAGCACCCACCTGTCACCCACAGCCCCCATCTCTCACCCCCCCCCCCACGCAGAGCCCCCCACTTCTGCTCCTCTCACACTCCCGCAGAGCACCCAACTCCCACTGGCAGCACCCACCTCTTGCACACGCAGAGCACCCCCCTCTCACCCGCAGCACCCACCTCTTGCACACGCAGCACCCGCTCCACACGCACCCAGAGCACCCATTGCTCACCCCCAGCACCCCCCCTCTGCGCACCCACCCCCGGAGCACCCACCCCCCAACTTACAGCACCCACCCCTCGCAGAGCCGCATCCGGAACACCCACCTCTCACGCCCAACACCCACCTCCCACCCGGAGCACCCACCTCTCACCCACAGCACCCACCTGGCACCCACAGCGCCCGCCCCCCGCGCCCCCGCAGCGCCCACCCCTTGCAGACCGGCACCCCCCGCCCGGGCTCACCGGGAGCGGGCTCCCCGCGCTCCCTCCCGCCCCCGCCCCGCCGGCCTGCGGTACCGGTGCCGGTGCCCGGTGCTCACCTGGAGGCCCCGGCGCCGCAGGATGCTGGACTCGTCCATCCCGCCGCGCCGCTGCCGCCTCCTCCCGCTGCGCCCGCTCCGCCCGGTGCGCCCGGTCCGCCCCGCCGGTGCGCCCGGGGCGCCGCCCAGCGGCCCCGCCGCGTCACCGGACGCGCATCAGCACCGAGCCCGCGGCTGGCACGGCATGGGGCTGGCACGGCACGGCTCGGGGCTGGCACGGCATGGGGCTGGCACGGCACGGCTTGGGGCTGGCACGGCACAGCATGGGACTGACATGGCATGGGGCTGGCACGTCTCGACTCGAGGCTGGCACGGCTCGGGACTGACATGGCATGGGGCTGACATGGCATGGGGCTGGCATGGCACAGTATGGGACTGGCACAGCATGGGCTGGCACGGCATGGCATGGGGCTGGCAGCAGCACAGAACTGGCATGGCATGTCATGGCAGTGGCACAACATGGGGTTGGCACAGCACAGCATGGGTCTAACATGGTATGGGACTGGCACAGCATGGGGCAGGCACGGCATGGGGCTGGCATGGCCTGGGAATTACAGAGCATGCCATGAGCCCCACATGGGCCAGGGCTGGAATGACACAGCACAACATCAGACAGGAAGGCATGAGGCTGGCACGGCACAGGGCTGGCATGGCATGGCAGGATGTGGGCCTGACAGAGCATGGTACATTCTGGGTTTGGCACAGTCTGCCTGGCTCAGTACAGCCCAGTGTGGCACAGTCTGGTGTGGCACGGCACAGTATAGCACATCATGGGGTTGGCAAAGGCTGGCACAGTCTGCCTGGCTCTGCACGTCCTGGCACTGCAGAGTCTGCCACGTCATGGCACAGCATGGCACAGCACAGCATGGGACAGCCCAGGCCTGGCACAGCCTTTTTTGCTTGACACAGCCCAGCACAACAGCTCTGGCACACAGATGGCAGGGCCTGGGGCTGGCACAGACTGCCTGGCATGGTACAGCCCAGCATGGCAGGGCCTGGGGCTGGCACAGCAGGGATGGGGTTGGGAGCCTGGTGTGGTCCAGCCCAGATCTGTCCCAGTTGCCACAGATTAGCACAGAGCCTGTGGCCCAGTACAGCCCAGCATGGCATGGTCCAGTATGGCATAGCCTGGCATGACACAGCCTGGCCTGGCCTGGTTCAGCACGGCACAGCCCAGACCAGCCCAGTCCTACCCAGTCCTGCTGTCAGTTGTGGCACAGCAAAGCCCAGCACGGTCCGGTTTGGCACGGCACAGCCTGGTGTGTACCCCCACCCCGGGCAGGACAGGGGGGCACACAGGGAGGCCACAGGAGGTGCCAGGGGACCCTCTGTGCCCCCAGCCCGGCCGTGCCCACGCTGTCCCAGCAGCGCAGGGACACTCCCGCCACCGCCGCCCTCCGGCGCCGAGCAAGGGCCGCACAAGGGGCCGCTTTCTGCGGGAACAAGGGCACTCTGTGCGCGGCCCGCGGTGCCACCCGGCTCCACCGTCCCGGGTCACCCGCCCCGTCACACGGCTCTGGTGCCCCGGTGCCACCGCGCTGTCCTGCCTCACTGGGGCTTTGTTCTCGCGGCGCACGGAATGAGTGGCTCTGGGGACAAGTACAACAGCACCCCCCCCCAAAAAAAAAAAAAAAAACCAGAGAACGCCAACCTGGAGATTCACCCCGTTACGGGCAGAGCAGCAGAAACACGCTGTGTGCAAAGAAAAAAAAAAAAAAAATAGAAAAAAACCAGTCAAAAACCCCAAGACTCATCTTTCGCTTACCTTGCACTTCTGGCCGCGCCGAGGCACGTGGCGGGGCCGGGACATGCGGGGCAGCCGTGCCGGCAGAAAGAGGGGGATATTTTGGTTGCTTTCTCTTTTGTTTTTTGTAAAAGTGGGGCATGCACTCACGTCTGGGGCTCTGCCCCGCCTGGGAACGGCACGCTCTCGGCAGAAGAGGAAACCCCAAGCGCGGGAAGCTGCGCCGAGCACCGGGGCTGCCGCCACGCCCGAGAGGGGCACTGAGGGGTGCGGGGACGTTGGGCAGCCGGGAAGGGCAGCGGAGCCCCGGATCCGCTGTGGGACACCCGGGGGGGCCATGCTGGGGTGGCTGCTGGCGGCGCTGGCGGCGCTGGCGCAGGGCGGTAAGTGCTCCTGCGGTGCTGGGAGATGACAGATAACTTCAGAAGACTTTCAATGAATGATTCGGGGGCGATAAGACCTGGGGAGCTCCCGGAGAGAGATGGAGATACTCACCCAAAACCACAGGGACGGAGTGAAGATGGTGAAGGGGCGAATGGTACCGGCATCACCGGGGAGGGGGAACACGGGGGGCTTGGGGTGAGAATCGCTGGTGCCGCTGCTCTAATTCCCCATTTGAGCAACATGGCAAGCAGGCAACAGCCACACCACTGCTTTCCCCATGCACGGGATGGAGCTGGGATGCAGGAGCCTCCAGCCACTGCCCTGTCCCGCAGGCACCCTGGCAGCCCACGACTTCTCCTGTTGGAAGAAATGCGACACCCACAAGCCTTTCTACTGCTCCTGGCGGCCCCTCGGCCCCGCCGGCAACACCTCCTACATCCTGAACCTCTGGTGAGTTGGGCAGCCGGCGGGGAGGGGGAGCCCATGGGATGAGTCCCGGGTGCCACCCTGTGCCCGCTCCCTCCCCAGCTTTGAGAAGCGCAGCTTGTGCCATCGGTTTGAGGTGGGCACGGTGACCAGCTACAGCCTCTTGCACACCCAAGTGTACACCTTAGTTAACACCACGGCCTGGGTGGAGGCACGCTGGGGGGACCAGATCCACAGGACCCCCAACCACACCCTTCACCTCAACGAGGCTGGTGAGTGCCCCGGGGACCGGGCTGGCAGCCAGCACGGGCACTGAAAACTGCCAGACCACCCAAAACTGCCTCATCTTTCCAGTCAAACTGGTTCCACCTCCTACTGGGATGTCCTTCTCCAAGACTGGTGGCCAGCTGAGGCTGCGGGTGCCACGGCCACAGTGCTGGAGCCTGAAGCAGCCACCACAGCACGAGGCTCGCTTCTGGAGGGTGGGAGGCAGCAGCTGGACACAGGTAAAAATGCTGTTTGCTGGAGCTGGCAGAGGCTGACAGCACAGTCAGGAGCATCACGGCAGCCCAGGGAGTGTGGGGGTCAGTGATGTCACTGTCCCCCCCAAACCCAGCTGTGTCCCATCTGTTTCCCTGGGTTATCAGCTCTGCCTCGTCCTCTGGCCATGGGATCCTGCTGCTGCCCATAACAGGATTCTCATGGATTACACAGAAAAAACCCAGATTATAGTAATGACGACAATGGATCAAATCCAGATGCTTGTCCCCAGTGAAGCTGTCACAGCTGGGGACCCCCATCCCTCTCAGCTGCTGCCAGGAGTGTCCCAGGATTGAGGGGGCCTCTGGCCACCATGTGCCCTGCACTGTTTGGTTCTCCCAGCCCCTGGGGTATTTGGGGATCACAGGGCAGCACTGATGTCCCAGTGAAATACTGGTTTTACTGGGAGTTTGTCTCCATGCCCGGTTCTCTCTGCAGGTGACATGTGAGACCATGATGGTGACAGCTAAAGAAAACTCAGGTTGGTTTATCCTGTGGGGTTGTTGGGGACAAGCATCTCCTGGGGGTGCTCCCCAGCCAGCAGCCTGTGATGGCCAAAAGTTGGGGAAAGGAGGGATCACCCCCAGGTGACCCTGCCACCCCTCTCTAGTGACCTGTGCCCTGGGGGTCAATAGCACCTTCGTGGTCCAGCTCCGGCACAAGCCTCCCCATTGGAGCAGCTACTGGAGTGACTGGAGCAGCAACATCTCTGTTCCCGAGGGTGAGGAAGAGGAGAGACAGGAGCCTGGTGAGATCCCAACAGCTCAAAAACGTTGATGGCTCAGTCAGGCCTGTTCCTCCTGCAGAAATCCTGAGGAGGCCGGTGCTGAGCCATCAGCTGGGCAAACTGGGGAGAGACGGGCAGCGGGTGCTGAGGCTGAGCTGGCAGGTACAGCGACATCTCTGGGGCTTTCCTGGGTGTCCCCCACCATTTCATCCCCTGAGTCACCCCCTTTTCCTCTCCAGCCAGTCCTCAAGGAGCAGAGGAATGTCACCTACAAGCTGCACGTCAACATGCTGGCGTGTGGCTGTGCAGGGTCACATGAGGAGGACACGGTGGTGCTGCCCGGGGAGGTGACAGAGCACAACCTCACCCTCTCCGGGGCGGAATACGAAATCCTGCTGACCGCCGGCAATGCCGCGGGGCCGGGGCCGGCGCGGCAGCTCCGTGTGCCGGCAGAGCAGCGCGCAGGTACCGCCCCTCCAGAAACGCTGAGCTCCCCCGGCAGCCCTCAGGGCGTTATTTTTTCCAGCTACCCCGAATATCCCCCGTTTCATCCCAGATCTCAGCTTCAAGGAGATCAGCGTGGCCGGCAGCAGCGTGACTGCGCAGTGGGAAGCGCCGGTGGCCGGCGAAGCCTTCTGCTTCGAGCAGCAGACACTGCCAGGGCCTCCCAAACAGGGAGTCTGCATCGGGCAGGAATTCCCTGCCAACAGCACCCACGTGCAGACAGGCAAGGGAGAGCCCCAAGCCCCCGCTGTCCCCCCAGCCGGGGTCAGTGGGTCTAACCAGCTGCCCCGGTTCCTCCCCAGGAGCGCTGGGAGCGCCGGGCTGTCACCGCCTCGCCGTGCACGGCTGGGACACGGAGCGTGGCTGGGCCACCTTCGCCCTGTGGCACCACTACTCCAGCAACGGTGCGTGTGTGAGCACCGAGCATCCGAGCACCGAGCATCCGCACCTGCTGCGCTCCAGGAGGCAGCATCCGAGCCTGCTGCGCTCCAGGAGGGGCGCTCCTGAAATAATCCCCCGGTTTTTTGCACGCAGATTCCCTGGACGTGCCCTTCAACATCAGCACCGGGGGTGCCGCGGTTGTGCTCCAGTGGGAGCCGTCCCCACGGGCCGCCTGCCCCGGCGCGCTGGCCAAGTACCTCGTCTGCCACGTGGCCGAGGGGGACAACGTGACCTGTGAGTGGGACCCCCTATCCCCGTGGGGCAGGAGGAGGGTGCCAGACTGCCCCACATTCGGTTTTGTTTGCCCAGACAGTGAAGTGGATGCCACGGCATCAAACTACACCCTCCAAAACCTCCAGCCTGGCACAGGCTACAGGGTGGGTGTTTGGGAGGTGACAGAGGACAGCGAGAGGACCTGCAGTGCTTGGTGGCCCTTCCAGACCAAGGCACTGGGTAATGGCTGAGACCACAGGATGCTCTCCCCCTCGTGTGCTGACCCTCACCCCAAAACCTCTCTTGTGTCCCTCTTGGGGCAGGAATGCCACCACTCAGCCATGCCTACCCTCAGGTCCCCAGGGAGCACCGTGGAGAGGCAACCTGAACTACCTGGGCATCTGGCTTGGTGTCCCTGCTGCAGCTGCCATCTACCACCTGAGCAAAAGGAGGTGACAGAGTGCCCTCGTCCCCAAAGCCGCTCAGGCCACCCCATCGTTGCTCACCCCCTCACCAACCTCTCCCTCCCCAGGGCTCGCCGCCTCCTCTTCCCACCCCTTCCCAAGCCCGTGGGCACCAAAGCCATCCAGTTCTCGGCCGGCGACATGAGCCAGGTGAGGTGGAAGGTGCAGGAGGGGGCAGATCCCACAGCCCCAAATGCCCACGCACAGCCCTGGCACGGGATGTTCCACCCCAAACCCACCCAACCCTTAGGGCCAGCCCCGGACAGGCCTCCTGGAGCCCTCGGAGAGGTTCAGCCCAGCCGAGCTGCTGCTGCCGGAGCCGAATCCCAGCGAGGAGACGACTGACACGGGCACCCAGAGTGCGGTGCCACACCCCGACGTGTCGCAGCCCAGCCCGGCGCTGGAAAAGCCGGCGGCAGCGGTGATGTCCCTGCCGGGCTGTGGGGAGGAGCTGCCCTTCGCCTACCGCAGGCAGGAGATGCTGAGCCCGGTGGGATCTCCACCCTCTGGCAGCACCAGCTGCACCGGGCACCCACCCAGAGAGGAGGAGGAGGAGGAGGAAGAGGAGGGGAGGCAGGGGCTGCACCAGCCGCTGATCCCCATTGCCCTGCTCATCTCCGACAAACCCATCATCATCAGGGATGAGGAAGGATGGGATCCCCCGCCATCGGCAGGCTGGAGCGGCGGGGATGGGCACGGGGCGTCCCCTGGAACGCGGAGTGTCTGTGTGGGACGCTGAGCGCCCAGTCCGAGGGTGGCACCGGCACTTTCAGGGGGGTTTCTGGTTTCCAGGGCGATGCCTCTGGATGCAGCATTGCACCGGGACAGGTTTTGGCCATGTCATTTCCAGCCTCAACCTTTCACCGGCGATAAAACCCGAGCAAAGGCGGCTGCAGAGTCTGGCCAGGACCGAAGGTATTTTCCATGCCTGGACTGGGAGGACAGGCAGAACTTCATCCCAGCCAGCTGCTACCTCTGAACCAGTGTCCTGGTGGGGTCACAAAAAGCCCCAGCACTAAACACCAGCTACCTAAAAAGACAAAAAAAAATTAAACACAAACATTAAAAAATTAAAATAACTGCACAAAGCAGCAGGGCTGAGATGTTTTTTTCCTCGCCTGACCCGAGCAGATTACAGCAAGGATTTAGAGCCGAGGTTCAATCCACGGGGATGGGGAGGACACAGCCAGGCAGCCGGGATGGGGGTGATCCATGGGGGCCCCCCAGCCCCTTCCCGTGGGGCCACGCCGCCGCCTCGGGCCTTATCTGGGACAGAACAGGAGATGAAAAGCGATCTGTGGTTTTCTCTGCCTGACGCTGCGGTGTTTACTTGCTGAGAGGGCAAAAAAAAAAAATCTTAAAAACCTAAAAGCTACGTGGGTTTAGTAACACGGGGAAATCCAGGTGCACAGCCGCGGTGTCGGAGCCATTGACACTCGGCCTCCTCGCTGCTGCTCTTGGCTCCACTCGTGTTTTGCAAAGCATTTCACTCCAACTGCACTCACAGCAGCGGCACCCGCGGGCGGAAACTGCGGCGATGCCAGCGGAGACAGAGCCCGGGGCGGCTCCTGCAGCCGGACCTCGGCAGGGTCAGCTGGGCTCGGCCTCGGGGCCGCTCCCAGCGCCCCAGGGGTGAGGCAGCGGCGGTGCTGCCGCTCCCATGGCCGGGGGTCTCATCCAGATGGGACCCCCATCACCGTGCTACCAGTGCCGTGCCACCAGTGCACTGCCACCAGCGCTGTGCCACCAGCACTGGGCCACCAGGGCAGTGCCAAAGGTGCAGTGCCACCAGCACTGGGCCACCAGAGCAGTGCCAAAGGTGCAGTGCCACCAGCACTGGGCCACCAGAGCAGTGCCACCGGTGCCGTGCCACCAGTGCATTGGCACCAGAGCAGTGCCACTTGTGCAGTGCCACCTGTGCAGTGCCACCAGCGCCGTGCCACCAGCGCCGTGCCACCAGTTCAGTGCCACCTGTGCAGTGCCACCAGCACCATGCCACCAGTGCCGTGCCACCAGTTCAGTGCCACCAGCACCGTGCCACCAGCACTGTGCCACCAGTGCCGTGCCACCAGCGCCGTGCCACCAGTTCAGTGCCACCTGTGCAGTGCCACCAGCTCAGTGCCACCAGAGCAGTGCCACCAGCACTTGTGCCACCGCTGTCCCGTCCCGCGCGTCCAGCCCGGCTCAGCTGCTGGTGGCGCCACGAGGTGGCACCAGTCCCGCGTCCCCACGGCCGTTCCCAACCTCCTGGCAAAGCAAAGCCATCGCTCCCTCCCTGCGTGTGGCAGGAGTCTGTCAGGCCCCCGTGCCTCTCCAGCCCCCCAGATCCCTGGGGATCAGCTGCACCGGGAAGATCTGGCATCCTGCCACGCAGAAGGGCAGCGCAGAGATCAGATTTGGGGATTTTCTTGGGATTTGGGTGATGCCAGGCTCTCTTCAGAGCACAGCAGGCTCATGTGGAGGAAGTATCTGGTTACAGGCAGGGAGGCACGCTCGGGTTTCAGCCCCAGCCCCTGTTTACAGGTGGTTTTGGGGGTCAGGGTGAAGAGGGAGAGCGCTGAGGGTCACTGGAAGCTCAGCACGCTCAGGTGGCAGCTGTAAACACACGGCCAGGCTCGGGGCCAGCGATGCCAGTTAATCATTCCAGCCCATGGAACAAGTTCACAGCAGGACAGCCAGACCTGGACACTGCATTAAAAACACCCTGGGCAGGGAGGGGACACAAGTCCCCCCCTCATGGGGTCACTCCCCAGGGATCCATCCCATCCATGGTGCTGCTCACATCCCCTCTGACACCTTCAGGGATGGCCCTGTCCCCACCAATGGCTCTGTCCCCACCAGTGACCTCGTGCATTTTTCCCACAAGTGCCCCGAGCTGGCCAGTGCTCTGCCAGGAACACGGTGCCATGTGGAGCCATGGACGTGCCAGGGAAAACTAATCAAGCCAGGCTTGCCAATTAGTGCCAGAGAACAGCTCGGGACTTGCTAATTAGTTTAAATTTCACAGGACTGGTTTCCAAATGAGTCCCCAGGCGCCACACTGAGCTTGGTGACCCAAGGACAGCTGCCAGGCCAGCTTTTGCAGCCAGGATGTGACTTTGCCTGCTCCTCTGTCCCAGCACAGCACCCAGACGTGCCACAGGGCATTGGTTAGGCCTGGCAAGAGCCACTGCCACCCACAGCCACAGGACAGCTCATTATACCCAGCAGGGGACTCATGATACCAAGGGGGACTCCTTCCAGGACAGCTCTGGGATAAGCAGCCAAAATCCATCCCAGCAGGGAAGACAAGGGTCAGCCCAGTGCCATCAGGATGCATCAACCCCAAAGTCACTCCATGGGGTCCCCTGTTCACACCCAACAGTGCCAGCACTGCCCACACACCCCTGGTGACAATGTCATCTACTGGCACAAGCATCCCTGCCCTCAAAAAAACAAAACCCTTTTCTCCCTGTACTCACAGTGTCCCTGTGCTGTGTCCCCAAAAGCAAATGGCACTGGGGACATGTGCCCATGGATTGACCTGGCTCCACTTGCTCCTGTGGAGTGGAGAATTCAGCACTGTATCCCAAGGAAGCAGGTGGGGCAGCCAGAAGGAGCTGCAGGGAGGTGGGGGCAGCCTGGGGATTTGCTCTGGGCTCACAGATTTCATAGAAACTCAGGATCATTAAGGTTGGAAAAGCTCTTGGAGATCATCGAGTCCAACTTCTGATCCAGCCCACCACTGACCCATGTCCCCAAGAGCCACAGCCACACAGCTTTTAAATCCCTCCAGGGCTGGTGACTCCACCACTGCCCAGGGCAGCCTGTGCCAGGGCTTGACAACCATTTCCAGGAAGAAATTTTTAGTAATATCCAACCTAATTCTTCCCTGGTGTGACTTGAAGCCATTTCCTCTTTATTTTGGGGGGTGTGATCCCAGAGATAGAACACAAAATAGCCAGAGGGGTTTGCTAAGGCCCCATCAACATCAGCTCTTGGGGGGTCTGAGCCCCTGCAGGAGGAGAAGTCCAGCCCTGCAGGCCCAGACTGATATTTTAACACCAGATTAAGATGTTTTGCTCCCAGGTTGAGAAGTTTAACCTGTTTTCCAGCCTCGGGGAAACAGCCCTGTGGAGCCACAGCCTGGCTTTAACAGGGGCAGAGGAGAAGGTCACAACCCTGCAACCCCCTCCCTCATTCATCCATCCCTTTCCTAGCCCCTTCCCGCACCCATACATCCCTCTCCCAACCTTTTCTCCCTCCCAACCCTTTCCCTGCACCCAGCACCATTTCCTGCTCCCCAAAGCCCATCCTGGAGAAGGGCTGATGCCAGGGAGAAGTTTGAGCCCAGCCTGACCACCAGCCATGGCCGGGGGCAGGATTATTTGCTGGGCAAAAAGCCATCACTGCCACCACCTCCACAATGCCACCCGCTGCCTGGCAGATTAGGTGACTTAATCCCTAAGCAAACAAACTGATCCCTGGGAATTTTTTTTTAAATTATTTTATTTTAGGCAGAATTCAAAGGCTGCACAAAGCTCATCTCACCCACCCCCAAGCACTGCAAAGCCCCCTTGGGCAAGACATCCAGCAGTTCCCTGTGGTAGGAAACCTCTGCTGCTGGGGAACTGGGGCTTTTGCTCCTTACAAAAAAGCTTCTAGGACTCTCCTCTCACCCAGAAAAAAGCCCTAAGAATTGCTGGTACAGGCATCCCAGCGGGGGAAGTGGCTGCAGGGCCCTCAGCCGGACAGACAGACACATGTGGACAGAGAGCCGCCGGCAGCAGCTGGGCTCAGCTTGTTTTGAAAGTCACGGGGGTTTCAGCGGCGGCGTTTTGCAACCATTCGGTGTCACAACAACAACAACAACTCGGTTCTGCTTCGCAAACAGGCCCCGGGGCCGCCCCGGCTCTTTCCTGCTCACGTCAGCTGCAGCAGCCTCACCCGGGCCGCGGCTATTTCCAAACCCGGCCGCGGAAAACGACCTGCAGCAGCAGTGAAAGTGAATATTTCATCTTCCCCCCGACCCAGAGGGGCTCGGAGCTGCCCTCGGGGCGGCGCTGGGTGTTCAGATCACTGAGCGCCCCGCCGGGATGCTGCGAGCCCCAGCATGCCAGCCGGGAGAAGTGGTTAAAAACCATCTTCTCCCTGCCCGCAGCGGCCGGGAATGGCAGGAAGCGTTTTCTTCCCTGCAGTTTCAGTGTTCTCGGATGGCTGCTCGCAGGGCCAGCTCAGCCCCTGGCACGGCCGGAGCTTTCCAGGCTTTGGCAGCTGCAGAGCGACAGCTTTGAATTACGGGAATTGATATTGAATGACGAGATTTTGTTTGTTTGTTTTGTTTTTTATTTCAACGGAAACTTTAAAATAATAGTAAAAGAAATCATAAACTCAGGGTGTCGGGAGGCGGGCGGCCGCCTCCGGGCGCTGCCCCGGGTATCGGGTGATCGGGAAGGGGAGGACGCTGCGCCCTTATCGGCACACGCGTTCCCTGCCCCCTTGGCAGCGGAGCCGGCCGGAGCTTTCACAGCATAAACATATTTTGCTCAAGCAGACGGCCAGAGTTGAGCTAAGGACAACTCGATAAGGAGAGAGCCCCCAAAAAAATCGCCTTTTTACAGCAGTCTCCCCCATCTGTCTCATCCCAGCTCTCTGCCAGCCCAGCTTTGCAGAGATAAACACAGGACCAAGAGCAACCCCCCTTCTCGCAGATCCGCTCCCAGGGTGTTTGTTTACCAGCTCTTTGCAGGCAGATTCACT